TAGCTATATTTTCATCCAAAAAGGATCTTAAAGATTCTGCATCTCCTGATATTCTTTCCGCATTCTCCATCCTCTTGCTTGTAGCCATCTTATCAGAATATAATTAATATTTAAATTTTAAATGTGTAAATTTAAATCCAATGGGTTAAATGATGCTACTGGTGAATTCATAAGAATTAATAATATAGTCTTTTGGCTTCCTCGTGTGGTCAAACAACACCACTGCAATATAAGCTACCAAAAAACCCACCTTAGTCTGTTTGACAGCCCACACAGCCTGTCCAATCAGAAGCAAGTAAAAATGGAACTATTTCTCCCCCTCCTCACAACAGGATCAAAACACCATTTAGGCAGTCTTTATTTTAAAGGCAAAGAAGTTCAGCAGAGTCAATTAACGATATAAAATCCTCTAGAAAATTGAAGTCCAGAAGTTTTAAAAGTAGTTTCCACAACCCCTCAAATATCGGAATACTGCTATCATTTCTCCCCTGGTCATTCACTAGACTAGCCATGCCCAGTTTCTGTAACTGTTCTTCATATGTTTTAGCCTCCAGTCCCCTAATCATCTTTGTTGCTCTTCTCTGCACTTTTTCTAGAGTCTCAACTTCTTTTTTATAGTGTGGAGACCAAAATTGGTTGCAGTATTCTAGGTGTGGTCTTACTAAGGCTTTATAGGGTACCTCACGTGATCTTGATTGAATCCCTCTGTTAATGCAACTTAAGATTGCATTGGCTTTTTTGGCTACCGCCGCACACTGTTGACTCATATTTAATTGATTGTCCACTAAGACTCCAAGATCCCTCTCACAGTTACTGCTATTGAGCCTGATTTCACCCAATCTATATGTGTACTTTTGATTTTTCTTGCCTAAGTGTAAGACTTTACTTTTCTCTACGTTGAATTTCATTTTGTTAAATAGGGCCCAGTGTTCAAGTCTGTCAAAATCCCTCTGGATCTTGAGCCTATCATAGAGGGTTGGCTATTCCTGCCAACTTAGTGTCATCTGCAAATTTGATATGTTCCCTTCCTATTCCCTCATCTGGGTCGTTTATGAAGATGTTGAAGAGTACTGGGCGTAGGACAGACCCTTGTGGTACCCCACTGCTTACTTCCCTCCATGTAGACATAGTACCATTAAGGACTACTCTTTGAGTGTGGTTTGTCAGCCAGTTAAAAATCCATCTGATGGTAATACTGTCTATCCCACTTTTTTAAAGCTTTCCAAGAAGTAGGTTGTGGTCTACTTCGTCACATGCCTTGCTGAAGTCCAAGTATACCATGTCCACAGCATTCCGCTGGTCCACCAATTTAGTTACCTGATCAAAGAATGAAATAAGATTGGTTTGGCATGATCTATTTTTAACAAACCCATGCAGGTTTCTAGTTATAACTTTATTTCTAGATGTTTGCAGATCTGTTTTTGATTATCTTTTCCAGTATCTTCCCATGTATTGATGTTAGGCTGATTGAACTGTAGTTTCCTGGGTCTGTTGTTTTCCCCTTTTTTTGAAGATGGGGACCATCTCAGCTGTTTTCCAATCCTCTTGTAGTTCCCTGGTGCTCCAGGATTTTTGAAAGATATGGTACAGTGGTTCTGAGATGACATCTGCCAGCCCCTTCAGGACTCTGGGGTGTAGTCCGTTAGGTCCTGGTGATTTATGTTCATCAAGATTGGACAGGTGTTCTCTTACCATTTTTTTGTTTATTTTAACTTTTATTTTTAGTCTGTCTTTTTCAGTTATGTTTTTCGTGGGCTTGGCTATAATTTCTTTTTGCATGAAGATCGATGCGAAGAATGAGTTAAGTAGCTCTGCTTTTTCTCTTCTGCCTGTTTCTTCCTTGCTGTCTTCTCTCTTTAGTGGACCAACTGTTTCCTTGATTATTATTATTATTATTATTATTATTATTATTATTATTATTATTATTATTATTATTATTATTATTATTATTATTATTATTATTATTATTATTTTGAAAGAAACTGTTTTTATTATCTTTGATTTTTGTTGCAAGTTTTTGTTCATTCTGAGCCTTTGCTTTACTGACTTCTTCATTGCAGATTATGGCTGTCTGCTGATATTCTGCCTTAGTTATGTGTCCCTCTTTCCATTTTTTGTACTTGTCCTTTTTGTCATTCAATTTGTCAGAGACCTTTGTGCAGCCATACTGGTTTCTTCTTGAATTTCTTGTTTTTCTTTTTCAGTGGTATTGTGCTGGATTGGGCTTTTATGATCATATTTTTCAGAGTTTCCCACACTTCTTGGATTGTTTTCCCCTTTAGGATTTTCATCCAAGGAATCTTTCCCAAGTGAGAAATAAGGTCTATTTTGGGTCATATGAACCAGGAGTAGTGGATTTACAATGGAACAATCAACAATGTTCCAGTCTACTGACCAGATGCCTCTCCTATGGCAGGGCTTTTCAGCCTTTTCACCTATTGTACCACTTTTAGGATATGACAATATCCAAGTACCACCAGTTGCCTAGCAAGGTGTCAAAAACTTGATGACCAAAAAAAAGGGGGAAAAAAGTGATAAAGTACAGGTAGTCCTCGACTTACAACAGTTTGCTTAGTGGCTGTTAGAAGTTACAATGGCACTGAAAAAAGTGCCCCCAAGCCACAGCCAAGCAAGACACCTGCCTACCACCCGGCCGCGCTTTTTCTCCTGTTCGAGGTTTTCATTGTTGTGAGCATTTCTGTTGAAGATTGGCAGCAGGGGTGGGGTGGGGGGGTGTTTGGTTTTTATTCCCTCCGTCTGCTGGGTGGTTGCAGCAGGTTTTGGTCACTTCACATGACCCTGGGACACTGTGACCATCATAAATATGAATCAGTTGCCAAGCATCTGAATGTAAATCACAAGACCTTGGAGATGCTGCAACATTCCAGCTGATCGGCACTTCTTCTGGGCTCAGCAGAAGCGCCAGGATCAGTGCTGCTTTCCAGCTGATTGGTGCTTTTTCAGGGCTCAGCAGAAGCGCCAGGATTAGTGCTGCTTTCCAGCAGATTGGTGCTTTTTCAGGGCTCAGCAGAAGCACCAGGATCAGCGCCGAGCTCCAGCTGGAGCCTGGGGCTGATCCTGGTGCTTCCACTGAGCCCTGACAGCCCCGAAGAAGCTCTGATCAGCTGGAAAGCGGCACTGATCCTGGCACTTCCGCTGAGCCCTGCAGCTCCAGCCATCTCTCGCTCAGGCTACCACTTTCTAGGATGGTCGCGTACCACCTGCCAGGTGCCAATGTACCACAGGTGGTACCCATACCACTGGTTGAAAAGCCCTGTCCTATGGAATGCAATAAGAAAGTTTTCCTCAATATTTTTTCTTAATAAACTCCAGCTAGATCCAGCCTATTTTCAAACTCTTGGTTTTTTTTAACTAGCTTCTCCTACCCTAAACATTTTGGCCATATTCTATTATGTTTGTAGAGACTTGTATACGCTCTCTGTAAAGTATGTAAAGTTGAGTTACTTTACTTATTTTTTAACATTGTTAGATTGACAGAATAATAATTCAATCCATGTTAACAATCATTTGTAACACAATCTTAGTGTGCTTTCTTTCATTTTCTAAAAATATTGACTATCTCAACACACTCAAAACTATGCATTGCTGATATCTCACACAAAAAAGAAATTCATCATATTTCAGCTTCACCTATGTATTTGATTTTAATTCCCAACTTTTTACCCCAAGATTGTTAAAACTGCTTAGATTAGAAGATATAGTTGAATAGCATTTTGTGTTTTGTGATTGGGCAGGTGGAAAAACTAGAGAGGTATAACAAATGTTTTCACTGACAAAGGCAAGTCTGTGCACTAGGGAATATATAAAAATGTTTATTTGCTGGCTTACTAGGAGTAACAATTCAATGCAGAATTGGTCAATTTATGTCCATCACTGTACAGAGGCCTTGAAGATCCCGTGTTTATTGTTTTATGCTGGGAAACAATAATACATTCCCTTTTAATTTATAATCTCTGAAGCATGTTAAAGATTTCGTTCACTTTCATTTTATGTACAGTTTATTTTTCTTAAGAAAACTGCTTTGTACTGATGGAGGAATAGAAGGACAGAGCTTCTTTCAGAAATAGTAACAATTAGTATGCCTTGAAACTATGTGTGGTGTGACTGTCATTGTGTTAAAAATAGAAAGATTTGTTTTGTTTTCAATAATACCATAATTTCCCACTCTATTATATTCAATTATATCAAAAATACTTATAATGTGAATATCAAAACTGAGCAAAATACATGGCTTCAGAAGACAAAGGCTAGTACCTGATGAAATGGAATGTATAGGGACATGATGGAATGAGGGGCAGAAGGCTCATTTTATTTCTTCTTCAAATATGAATTCGAAGCTATATCAGGTAATACCTTCAGACATAACACTCTGCCTAGTAAAAAAATAAAAGTAAAAAAAAAGTAAAGGTTTCCTTTGTCCAGTGGTGTCCAACTCTAGGGGGCGGTGCTCATCTCTTAGCCAAGGGAGCCAGCATTGTTCAAAAACACTTCTGTGGTCATGTGGCTAGCATGACTATATACCGAGGTATACGGAACACTGTTACCTTCTCACCAAATTGGTACCTATTTATCTACTTGCATTTGCAAGCTTTTGAACTGCGAGGTTGGCAGGGACTGGCACAAGAATGATAGCTCACACCATCACACCGTGCTTGAGTCCAAATTGCCAATCTTCCTGTCAACAAGCCTAGTGCTTAACCACAAGGCCACCGCACCCTCTTAGTAAAAAGTACTTTCTTAAAAATAAAATAAAAAATAGATTCAATGAAAATATTTTGATCTACATCCTATTATTCTGTATATGTATGTTTCTATATATATGTGTTTGGGTGTATAAATACACATATATACATATGAATATGAAAGATGTAATCCTAGATTGATCTAATGTGTTAATAGCTGATTGTTGTAAGGTAGGGATAGCGATAATTGGGTAACCAGCTATAATTGAATAAAATTTAGTATTTTGTTTTTATTAGGTGGCTGCCATAAGCACTATTGTAAGCAGAGGAACACCACTGAAAGCCTTTGTATTTAGAAATTACAATCACTTCCCTGGAGTAAAGTCTCACTATCTTGGAGGTTGCCATTATAAATTATGGCAAGCTATCAGAGCATCATCTGCAGCACCAGGTTATTTCCAGGAATATGCACTGGGTAATGATCTTCATCAGGTTAGTTGTAATATTTTATTTTAAATTCTCAGAGTTCTTTGTATAAGGATGAATAAAACTAACCATTTATGGATGCATACTTAATATACTTAAATCATATATTTACTTACTGTATAGTTAAACAACAAATTTATCCTCAGGTGTATTTTAGAGAAAGGAGTAAAGGGTCTTTTGTATTTTCATTGTAGGTCTTGCAGTATTTTATTTGTATATGGTAGTACATATTTCACTTCTCCTATCTCCTCCATGTCTAGGTCCATTTCTTCTGCTTCATCTTCTGGTTTCTGGTTTATTTGTTCATACTTTGTAGTCGTTATCTGGGAACTTTCCAGTTGTAGCTTCAATTTGGAGATTTGGTCATTTATATCATCTACGTTATTTTTACTCTCATTATGTTTTCTTTTTATATCCTCTGTGTGCAACAATTGTTTGATGAATTTGCTGCAACATAGAAAGTATTTCTTTCTGAAAGGTATTTGTTTTTTCTTGAGGCATCATTCCTAGAAACCCTCTAGTATCATCAGTCTCAGTAAGAGTGGAACAAACTTTCCTCTAGTTTTCTGATCTTTGCATATAGCCTTTATAATCCAGTCATAATAGCAATATTTTATAGTAAAGCTTTGTCTCAAGTATCCTGAAAATTATCAGTCAGGCCAGGTTGTAATCCACAATGTTCCAAGTATTCGAAATGTTCAACCTCCCTGCAGCCAGACGTATTCAAAAGTCATTTTTTTCTTTCTCTCCCACTAGCTCTTGAGATTAAAAGTCCAAGCTCAGTAGGTATTTATAGTCCAAGAAGGTCAGGATGATAAATATGCCAAAATATTTTCCTTTATTGCCAGCTGTTCTCCCTTTAGCTGAAAGTCAACAAGCAGCCAAGGGGCTAGTTATAGTGCTGTACTCAAATTCATCACTAGATATCATTCAAAGTCCATTTTCCACTCTTAAAACAAAGGATTTCTTACATTTCACCTCAATGATTTTTTCCCCAAAGAGAAAATCTTAACAATTATCTCAGTTCTCAAATTTATCAAAACTGTAGCTTTGTATTACTTTCACTTCACTATTGTGTATTTCTGTCCCCCATAAAAAATTTAAAACACCGCTTCTGTTCACATCAGGAAGTTTTTAGCTTCTTGGGAGCCTTTCCCAGGAAATTCAGTTGTAAAATAGTAAAGAAAGGATCAATATTCTCACCCAGTTCCAAACATGCTGTTTACGATGTGTTAATTGAAATTTTTGTTCTTCGGTTGTCAGCAGCTAATGGCCGGCTGCAGAGGAGTGGCTGGTCTTTCCCCTGCTGGTTTAGAGAGCTTTCCTTGGATCAAACGGAAAGACCGCCATATCTCTATGATCAACAAGGCACCCCTCCTTCTTCATCGCCTCTTTGGGGTAACTTTAGGTCCTTTTCAGAACCCCAGCAGGGTGAAATTGGGCGCAGATGGCAGAGCCCTGCCTTCCTGCGCCCGTTTTACCGTGACGCAAATCCAGAAGTCTCGTTAAACAACGTTTAAACAGTATCTGGTAATGATATTACCTCATATGTCTCCTTTTATATATATATATACATGCATATGGGCTGGATAGCTTGCCAAACGTTCACAAAACATGAAGTATCTTTAATTTAAGCACCCTCATGAGTCTGAATGGCTTTATCCTGACAATGAAGATATTAGTTGTACTGTGATCTGTGACAATATTCTGCATGTTTCAAGATATGCTGACAGTCGTTAATAGCAAGGAGTCTGCTTGGAGAGTTATACACTGCTACTCATAATTGTTTCCACTGAATACATAAGCCCTTTTATATGTGACATTAAAAATGTATTGTCTTTGGTTCTGACTCCTGCCTAATGAACCCATTTATTAAGTACACTAATTTTTTGATGTGTGACACTGCTTGGAGTTCTAAGTCTGTTTCACATGCTTTTAATTTGAATCAAGTGAGGAAAGAAAGTGAAAAACAGTTTCTCAACCTGTGCCTTTTCTCCTACATGCAGCTGGAAAGGGGAAAAAAGCTCTTAAACAGATGTATACCAACTACAATTGCAGAAAGTGAGACAATATTCAGCTGAAATAAAATGCTCTTATTTCATTATAACATGTCAAAAATCAAGTAAATTAGAAGTCTTGTATTCAAATCAGTGTATGTAATCCAGATATCTGATTATGCATCCTAAACTACATATCTAAACATACTGTATAAAGAATCATGATGTATTCTATATGATGAATTCTTGGCAAGGGAGATATAGCCTTCCAGTTAAAAATATATATATTTTTATAAACACGAAAACTTTTATATGCATTTTACTTTTGCTAATTGACCAGCGTCCTTGGAAGTTATCAGATTGAGAAAAAAATGTTATATCCATAGAAGTTGATGCAAAGAATATTTCTTCTTAAACTGTCAGAATAATTATTGCAACCCATGAATTATCTCAGCATTCCAGACAATATGAATTAAAATACCACTGTCAAGGTTCCAACTGATGATCCCAAATAAGTAAGCACAGCTGAGACATTCCAATCTCTAATGCAAAACTTTATTGAGTACAGCATATCGGCACTCATGAATAGAAAACCAGCTATGGCTAAATTGGCACTAGAACAGTAAATTGAAAGTATAGAAACTCCCCTTCCCCCTGACAGTGTAATTCACATTCCCCAATTAAACATCAGACAATTATTATGAGAGAAATCTTTCATTACTTCGTATATACTCTGAATCACCTTGATTCCGAGACTTCACAGCTCACACCTGAAAATGCACATTCCATTCATTCCCCCCCCCCCCCNCCCCCCCCCCCCCCGGATCTGTAGGCAAGCCAAGAAACAGAATTGGCCAAAGCATCATGAGGTTTCTTTGGAGCTTGACAACCACCCACTATGAGGCATGCATAATGATTAAGATATTTTAACTTATAGCCTGGCGGATAAAAGGGGCAAAGTTAGATCTATTTAAATTGATGTTAAATCAATGTTGTTGGAAGGTGCTGAATTACACTGAAAAATCCTATGTTGGGCAGATTTAATTTCAAGAGGAAAACTTGAGGAATGACATTTTACAGCTATATCAAAACTTGTCTGGTACTTTATCTCAAATACATTTTCAGAGGCACTAATTTATCTCCCATTTTTTAAATTTAAAAATATTTTACTAAAACAATGGAGATAAGGCAACTTAGAATTTAGTAAAAGCTTTAGGATTTCTATATTTAAATAATACGATTATTAACATTGCTTTCACAGCTGTCATTATTTTTTTTTGTTAGACCATCTGTTTAGAAGACTATGAATTGAAAATCTCCTTTATACTAAGCTCTTTAGACAAATATTCATAGTGATGATTGATGTGTATTTTCAAGTAAATAAGACTTCAATAAATAAAACTTTGTGTATCTGAAATAGAGCTAAAGGTTTCTTAGCTGTCCTGATCCAGAAAGTCCAAGGCAAATGACACAGATGGTGTCCTGGACACATGAGGCACTTGGAATAGAATACAGTAACAATAGTAAAACTGAGGCAAGAACTCAGAATAGGTCAGAGTGTTAAATTTAGAACTTAGCCAAGGATTGGGCAGTTCAAATGCTTAAGCTAAATCAGTGTTGTGAGTAGATAAGATTTGTGATTTCTAGCATTCAGTTGTTTCACTTGAAAGTTTATTATACTAATGGATCTATATTATACAAATAGGCCTATTGTCAGAATCCAAATATATTCCATCTCTAGTTATCAACTATGAAAACCCGCATTTCTGCCTGCTCTGGATTCTGTCATACGATGAAGGGAAGGGGGTGAACAAAGGGGCTTTAGAGCCCTCACTTCCTTCAGCCTACTTCAAAGGGACTGGATGTGGATATCACCAAACGGACTAACAATAACAATGGGGGTCATTAGCTTTCATGTAATCCTTTTTGAAGTCTCCTCCCGGCAATGAGGAAAAGGGGGTGAGAATGTAATGCTTGGGATTGTCGCTGGGAGAAGGGGGTGACGGGGGTGTGGCTAATGGGGGATCCCTTAAAACCTTGAATGGGAGAGCTTGGACCCAAGTCCTGTCTAGAACGCCTACATCCAGCTTTCTCTTAATAAAGATGCCTGTTGGAAGAAATATTCCAGGAGTTCTGCCTTCTTAAGATGCAAAGTGGGGTGGGTCCTTACACCTATACATTTAGCTGGTGTACATTAATCTTGTTTAAAATACTGGGCTAGTCAGGCATACTAGCAATTGTTTAATAAAACATTTCATTCACAGCCTTTTCTGTCATTTCTGTCACATATCCTTTTGATGTTTGATGTTGTTGTTGTTAGTTGCGAAGTCATGTCCAACCCATCATGACCCCATGGACAACGTTCCTCCAGGTCTTCATGTCCTCTGCCATCTTCTGGAGTCCATTTAAGCTCACGCCTACTGCTTCAGTAACTTCATCCAGCCACCTCATTCTCTGTCGTCCCATTCTTCTATTGCCCTCAATCTTTCCCAGCATTAGGCTCTTTTCCAGTGAGTCCTTCCTTCTCATTAGGTGGCCAAAGTATTTGAGTTTCAACTTCAGGATCTGACCTTCTAAAGAGCAGTCAGGATTGATCTCCTTTAGGACCGACCAGTTTGAATGCCTTGCAGTCCAAGGGACTCGTAGGAGTCTTCTCCAGCACCATAGTTCAAAGGTCTCAATTCTTTGGCGCTCAGCCTTTCTTATGGTCCAACTTTCACAGCCATACATTGCAACTGGGAAAACCATGGCCTTGGCTATACATAATTTTGTTGGCAGAGTGATGTCTCTGCTTTTTAGTATGCTGTCTAGATTTGCCATAGTTTTCCTCCCCAGGAGTAAGCGTCTTCTAATTTCTTGGCTGCAGTCCCCATCTGCGGTGATCTTGGAGCCCAGGAAGATAAAATCTGTCACTACCTCCATTTCTTCCCCATCTATTTGCCAGGATTTAAGAGGGCTGGATGCCATGATCTTGGTTTTCTTAATGTTGAGTTTCAAGCCAACTTTTGC